ACCAAGGCGGCGAGGCTGCGGGAGGGGGCGAGGCGGGGAGAGGAGCGCGCGCAGCCCGGAGCAACCTGGAGCGGAGGCAGCTGGAGAGAGAGCCAGCGAGTGGGAGGTGCGGGAGGGGCGCGGGGGGGGGGGGGGACGCCGGGCTGGAGCGGGAGGAAGGCGGGGAGCGAGCGCCAAAGACAGGCTGCTAGCGGCGCAAGGAGCCGCTGCCGTGGCGGCTGGACTCAACCATCCTACCCACCGAGAGGGGAAGGAGGCTGGCACCGCGCAGTCCTGGGCTCAGCCCGGCCTAGGGCTCTGGGGCCCAGCACATCGTGCTCCCGTTGCTCTGCGTTTGGCCTCAGTCGCGGCTGCGCGCTGGCTGGAGCACGGAGACTTGTTGGGCGCTCAAGTGCGAGAAGCCCACGCCGAGCACGGGGAGAAACCATACAATTGGCCACGCAAGTCAGCCTGAGGGCTCTGTAGGGGCAGACGGGGGCCCGCCCCCATCCTCTGGACTGTCTCTCTGTTGACCAGAAGCAGCCCTCTGCCTAAGTTAGGAAAGAAATGCAGGTGGAGAAAGAATGGGCCCAGCTGTGACTGGAACAGGCAGAGAAAAAGGTGCTTTTAACAAGAAATTGTAAATTACCTTTAACAAGGTGACTGTCTACAACTGTGATAAGCCACGGACAGTGCCCTCCTCAGCTCACTGAGTCCTGCTGGGGCTACCCACATACCAACCCCAGCTCTATGTGGAAGTCAAAATGAGGGTGAACAACTAGTCTGCTGCCCTGTTCTGATTGTAAAAGCAGAATTGGCACACCTCTGGTGAACCCAAACATCTAGTCCAGAATTCGGGAAGTTCCCCGCCCCGCCCCGCCCCGCCCCGTCCCCAGCCTTCAAAGTGGCAACAGGAGGAGCCAGGAGCAGCTGCTGAGAAGCAGGTCTACTACAGCTACTGGCATACACAGAAGAGACACGGTGTTAGGGAAAGGCTGGGGGTTAAGGGAAAAGTCCAAACCATAGATGAAGCCTAGCGTTCTCAGCGACACCTTTAAAGGACGTGCCGTTTTTAATCCGAAAGGAATAGTGAATTCTAGAGGATGGGATGAAAGGGACATGGACATCTCATGCATTCACGTTAGGGACATCTATCCCATGATGACCCTGTATTGTCCACACCAAGGAATGAGCATGGTGTTTGGAGGCAGGCTGAGGGCAACACCGTTGCACCAGCATTGTGTCCACTGTCAAGGACTGAGTCACAACACACCACACTCAATGTTAATGTTCTAGAGCCGTCCTGTATCTGTAGCCCATAGATCACATGATGGCATGATGGTGACTATGGGGATGTGGAATTACTGGCTGTCACTTGGCCTTCCAAGAGCAACCAGAGCCCTTAAGCAACCTGCATTCCTTCTTCTGGAGAGCTGAACTCCCTGGGAAAAATCATGGGGCTTTCTTGGAACTGACTGGATTTCTTGTGGAGAATCTTCTTATTGCCCTTCCCTTATTCCCAGAGTGAAAATTCCAGAATAACTCTCTAATCTGGATAGCTCCCTGTGTGTCCTCAGTGTGTGCTGTTGACAGGGAGTGGAAAGGGCCACACCTCCTGTGTGAACTTTAAGTCACCTCCCAGATGTTATCTATACTCTAAGAAGTGAATAAAATAATGCCTTTCAAGACCCATGAGAAGCTCCAACAGTTCACCTCTGCCCCGCCCTCAGCACACATTGATCTTCAGGAGCAGCAGAGCTGAAGTCCCCCATGAGAAACGGTGTCCTGTCTTTCTTTTGCCACCCCTCATGACTCATGTCACCAAGAAGGATTTCTGCCATTAAAAACCATTTCCAGATCTCACTACCTTGTGCAGGGACTCACAGCTGGCTTCAAGTTGTTAGGGTCCCAGTCAGGAATGTTGAGCGCCACCTGAGAAATCAAACACCTTTGCACAGAATCCTGAAATCTTGTCGTCTCAAGATCGGATGGTCTCCTCACGGCAAAGTGCTTAGCAGCCTTTTCTCTTGCAGACCAGTTGTGATGCAGACCTATAATGGCAGGAGATGGAGCCAGGAGCATCACTTCAAGTAGGCTAGCCTGTTAGAGAAAGAGAGATGCCATCTAGCCAGAACTTCACAGGGAGACTTTATCTCAAACCCATAATCATTAAAAAACACTTCTGCTATCTTTGAGTGCCAAGAATTTATTGGAGTAATATCATAGAGCAATAACAGTCCCAATCAATGCTTCAGGTCAAAAAGGAAGAAAGATTCTGTACCTGGAAGTTACCTTGCCTAATTGCGACTTGATCCTAAGTCTGAGAATACAACAGAAGGCCATCCAGGAAGAATGGCTGATTTGGGAATGTGGTTGTGTCTGTGTTAATATTGGGAAGCTTCCCCCACCCAGACTCTCAGGCACTAAGCGACCCAGAAGGAAATCATGGGGCTTTGCTGCCATCTAGTGCTCTGATTTTCTTGCTAGAGTTGGCTTGGGAAGCCAAATGAAAATCTCTTTCTCATGTTCCTCTCTAGCCACCTACCTTCTCAGAAGGCCCCTGCAGGGTACACCTGCGCTCTTCATACTATCAGGATGTAGATGAAGACAGTTGTTAGCAGCCTAGATTGTCCCCCTCTCTGGGCTCTGAGTTCTTGTAAAGCCGCTATTTCCTTCCGATTTAAGTGGCTCGAACCTGGACAATGTTATGAAATGATCTCTGTAGGGGGACAGCGAGATTTCACCCCGAGAAGAGCTGTGGGCTTCTCTGCAGTGACGGGAAAAGAAGTCTGTGCCACTGCATGGGTGTGAGGCATTTCCCAGTCTCAGCCTAGCATGCTCCTCAGCCTCCAGAACCTGGTTAAGATGTACTAGGAGCACTGCTGGCATCGGGACTGGCACTGTGGAGTACAGCAAGAAATATCAAAGAGGCCACCCCCATGCTGGAAGGATGGCAATGTCCCTGAGGCTGGGCATCATCCACATGAAGATATATTAGGTAGGGTGACAACTTGAACATTCAAGAGACGAAGAGTCTTCGTGAGATGGAACCACCTAAGGAGAGGACAGAAGCATGACGCTTGAGATAAATATAGATTGCTTTTTCACTATGTGCAAATGAGAATACTAATTACCTGGAGAACTGTGTGTGTATGAAAATCCTAGAGAATACAGCATGTTGCTATGATGGTTAAATATGACTGGTTTAATACTGTATTGGGGAGATTTATGGCTGTGAAATAGCTGGAGGAGAGTTCTTTCTGCAAGAAATCTGGCAACCAGTAGGAAGCCACTTCTAAGGTTACAAAGTGAACAGGTGAACGGTGCCTGGGTACAGTTCTCTCTCCGTCCCCTCTGCTACCCCTCCCCCACAGCAGAGCCTATGTGTATGGGTGACAAGGACCTTCCCTGCCCTGGCCTCTGCTCCTGCCACCATCCTAAGGCAAGCACATAATGTCAAAGAGGTACAGAAAGCTCTGCTCAGTAATATCAGATCACACGTGCTTTGTGAATGCCCCCAGGGCAGTCTCCAGAACACATCATTCCCCAAGCCGCCATTGAAAGAAGGTGAGAATATATGAGAAAGCGCAAGTACATACTGATGTACATGACTGTGTTCCATGGCTCGTTCATAGCTACCTGTTAAGCCTTCTCCCGTCTTTCCAATAAAGCAATATTTGAAAGATTCAAAGTTTGTGTGCATACCTTTAGGATGAGGGAAGCTAAAGTAATACATACTTTAGCTTGTGGATACTCAATTCCCGTGATCCACTGGATAGAATGGAGAATTCTCCCTCTCGAACCATAAGGTAGCTTGCCAAAGGAAGGAACTCTCCATAAACTATGGGAGTCTCCATGCATGACAAAGAGGCACTTCATGGACTGTGGGTGCTTCCATTCATGACAGAAGGGGACTCCATGAACTGTGGGTGTCTCCACGTATGACAATCACTTAACATGGTCATCTATAATTATTGAAGTCTAGGCAGTTGGCCCCAACCCCAACTGAATCTGGCATAAGGTCTGAGATTTAACATTTCTAACAAGTCCAAAGTGACATGGGGACATCAGAGGTGATACTCTGAGAAACACTGGTGTCAGAGATTGATCTTGGAGTCCAACGAATCTACTTTGAGTGGTACATCTGCCATCTTCTCATCAGGAAAGCACGCAAACAACTGTAATCTAAGTGCATTTCTGTGTCTGCAATGTATGCGCTGAGATCTTCCTTGTGACTACATGGGGAGGGCAAAACAATGTTGAGACAGTGCCAGACACTTAGCATCCTCACGGATAGCATCCTTCTTTTTTGTGTAGCCTACCTCTGAAAGGGAGGAAAGAGAAGCAGCCCAAACGGGGAAGGCATCCAATCTGCTGCTCCAACTCATATTTTAGGATTTCAAACGGAAACAGAAGAGACAAAAGATAAATAAATAAATAAATAAATAAATAACAGTTACTTATTTCCAGGTTGTCAAAAAGTGACTCCAGCTGACACCCAAGTGGGACATTAAAGACTCCTTCACTCTGACTTTTAAGTTCAACTTGCAAGGAAGCCTCATACTCAGCAGTTCCCTAAGGAACCAGCTTGAAAAGCTCCTCTGTGACTAGGTAACAGGCCTGCTTGTTAGTAGTGCTTTTTTTTTAAACAATAAGAATGCCCAGCACAAGAAGTAAGATGTGAGCAAAGAGGTCAAGACCATAATGGGTACATCCACTGAAACACAGTCTATTTGAGCTAATGAGAGCTCACCGACTCCAGCCCGACAGAGAAGGAACAAACATAGGTTCAAACTAGTCCCTCTGAATGAGGTTGACAGTTGCATGGCCGGGGCAGACTGAGGAGCCACTGGCAATGAGGGCAGGATTTATTCCTGCTGCTTGTACTGGCTCTTTGGGAACCTATTTTCTTTATATGGATACTTTGCTCAGCCTATTTAGTAGGGAAGGCCTTGGACCTTCCCCAAAGCAATGTGCCTTACCCTCTCTGAGGAGTGGATGGGGGGTGGGGTAAGGGGGATAAGTGGAGAGAATAGAAGGAGGGGAGAGAGTGGGAACTTGGATTGGTACGTATAATGAGAAAAAAAGATAGTTTGTTTTCTTTTTAAAAAAATAAAATAAATTAAATAAAAAGAATGCCCAGTACAGAGTCACCATTCACATTCACCAGTCCAGGTGGCTACTGCAGGGCAGCGGGACAGCAAAGGGAGTCCAGATGCCCTTGCAGAGCAAATACTGTCCGGAGAGCACAGACACGTCCTGGCTCAGCATTAGGGCTCACAGGTGACTAGTGACTTACAGAGGCTTCCACTGTCTACAATATTACAACTTGAATGTTGGAAGGGCTGTGCCCAGAGAAATTCTCTAGCTTTAAGAAAAGCCTCTCTCGGGAGGGGGAGAGTGAGTGGGGGGAGTGGGAGGGTGGTGGGAGGAGGGGCTGAAATGGAAA